CCGACCGACGCGGCGTCTTGACCGTTTTGTTCCTAACGGCGCCGTTTGCCTGTCCGTCATGCCACGTCAGCGTTTTCGGGGCCCACCTGTCGGAAAAGAGATCAAACGAGGCTAAACGACTGTTCAGTGCTTTTTGCAACGGGTTAAGAGATTTTACGATATTTTTTTGCAACAGATTAACGAGTTGGTAGTTTCCTGCAAACCTAGCCACAAATGTGATGGTTTCTTGCAATTGACTCTTTCGAGACACAATACAAACGCACTACTAATATCCTAAGCCGGTACATTTTTTATATTGACACAAAGATACTATAGGTGTCTCGCGGTCGACGGCCTTTCATTGAATAAACATCACTACAAAGTTCAAAGATAAATTTAGAAAAATGCTGGCATCCATATTAAGTTAAGACTTTAATCCAGGTGGATTGGTGATGTCTCAGGAGACTTAAATTCAGATGGACTAGTTTCCATATATTAACACAAAGTCATCGTAGATGTCTCGTAATCGACGGAAACGATGTTTTTCACCGAATAAACACCGCTGCAAAGTTCTAAAATAAGTTCAAAAAAAATGCTAGCATCCATATTAAGTCCTGACCATCTGATTAAGCTCAGTTCATGAAGCTGGCTCGATCGATTTGCAATTACACAACTCGTTTAGTGACACTCTGGTCACAAGTGGACAGCTACTTCAGACAAAAACCAACTTTGAGAAACAACTCAAACGTACAGGACAACCGAGACAAGACGGGTGGATAAAGCAGCTCATCCCAAAAGATAAGGTGGGGTTATCCAGTCGGCTTGTTCGTAGCCACGTTACTAACCTGCAGCTTAACTAGCACCACAGCGTTGAAGAGGACCGAGATATGCCACAGATGTCAAGAACGTAGAGAGGCAGTAAAATGAACGGAGTTGTCAGTCAGATTTTGCGTCCAAGCGAAGGGTAAATAGGACAGCAGGGTAGATAAAAGTCAACATATGAACCGCAACCTGTACGTGCACCATTCACTCATGGATGTACTGCCCATGTGGGAGTGGATCGGACGATTCAATAAGCACAATGGAAAACGGAACAAAGATCAATCTTATTTATAGTACTTTATACAAGCAAGCAAGCAGGTTAGTTTGTACATGAGCGGCAGGCAGCATATCCCAGCACACGCAGAAACCGAACAGGCAGGCGTTCTCTAACCAAGGCAGCAAAAAAAGCCCAGCAAGAAAAAAGGAGAAGAAAAAAAAGATACTAGCTCCTAGACCCAAACCCTGGCTGGCACCTCGGCACTCCGGATTTATACAATGGTACCCCAAAGCTCTCTCTCTACTAGTACTACCAGTACGTACTTCGCACACTCTCGTCGCATATACAAGGACGCTAGACACGTTGTCTCCACGGGAGGAAGAGTCGACGTACGTGGGCCGGGCCGGGCCGGCTACGGGCCCCTCAGGTCGGCTGCACCGCCTCTCGGGCGCCCCCTCCGCTCACGATCCACGGGTGCCCTGCGATCATCAACCAATTTGGTTCAGATTATTACAGGGTAAAGCTAGTAGGAGATGGATACGGACGGTTGAACAATTCTAGAGAACGAATCGTGCACTTTTGGAGTCCTCGGATATTCCAAATGCAGCGCTGCCCATGCCCCAATCTGGAGAAAGAATCAAGGTGGTGTACGGGCGGGCGGGCGGGGCGGGCGCTTACGGAGGACTTGCTCCGCGGAGAACCTCCGGGAGACGTCGCGGCACATCATGCGCCGCATCAGGTCCTTGGCCAGCGGCGACACCCCGGCGAACAGCCGCGGCGGGAACCGGGGGCTCCCGCGCAGCACGGCCGCGAACACGTCCGACGCCGTCTCGCCGCTGAAGGGCAGCGCGCCGCCGGTGAGGAGCACGTAGAGGACCACCCCGGCGCTCCACACGTCCGCCTTCTCCCCGTACTCGTCCCCCGCCACCACCTCGGGCGCCACGTAGTGCGGCGTGCCCACCAGCCCCCGCGCGCCCTCCCCGCCGCCGACCAGCGCCGCCGACCCGAAGTCCGCGAGCCGGGCCCGCACGGGCCCGTCCCCGCCGTCGGGGGCGTCGAGGAGCACATTGTCCGGCTTGACGTCGCGGTGCGCGACGCCGCGGCGGTGGCAGATCGCGAGGGCCTCGGCGAGCTGCGCGGCCACGGCGGCGGCCTCGGGCTCCGGGACGGGCGCGCCGTGGCGGAGGCGGACCCAGTCGAGCAGGTCGGGGCCGGCGCAGAGGTCCATGACCACGTGCGTCCACGCCTCGTCCTCGTACACCGCGTGCACCTGCACGACGCCCGGGTTGCCCGCGGCGGCCAGCTGCGCCAGCTTGGGCTCCAGCTCGGCCAGGCCGCGGTCCAGGTCGTCGGCGAGGCGCGAGCGGTCGACCGACTTGACGGCGTAGAGGTCGCCGGAGGAGCGGGACGCGCAGCGGCGGACGACGCCGAAGCGGCCGCGCCCGATCTCCTCCCCGATCTCGTAGTCCCGCTCGAGTTCCTCACTCATGGCAGATCTGTTTTTTTTTTACCCTCTCACGGTGCTTTTCTCGGAGGATGGTTGGTTCGCGAACCGGTGGCCGCCTATTTAACGGGGCGCCGGAACTTCGGGCTGCCGCCGAATATGCGGATCCTGCTCGATCGGACCATATTCCAGTTTTACCCTCGCGTTGGTTACTACTCCTTCTACTAGACTACTATGCAGCTCCGTTTAAGGTTGTCTTGTACAGATACAATGCCCGTAATAATCTTATCCAGTTCTATCACAATTGCGATTAGTCGGATACATTTGGATCAGCAGGAGTCAAGCAGCACGACTAATCTACCTGAGTCTTTGTCAAACACTATACCAAGCAGGACCTCGTCGTCATTACAATGACCAAGATCACATCTCATTTTTTCGAGAAGATTCCATGTGGACCCAATGCGTAATAATTAATCCATATTTGATAATTATTAAAGTTGCCGGTGCACAACGACTGTCTCCACGTGGTAGAGAGCCACTGCGTCGAGGAGACACGTAAGCAGTCAAACACACACCGCATTCTAGCAAGCGCGTGACTTGGCGGCCACATTGGAGTAGCAAGCCGCCACGTCGACGTAGACCGCCGCGCTACGAACCAGAGCACGGTTCCATCGTCGACCGTGCGTTTCGCACTCCGCGCACCGTAGCGCCACAAAACAGAACCGGCTTTTGGCAAAAGCTCCGGCCGTCTCCGGTCCGGTGGGCCTCCCGCTCAGGACGGCCCAAGGTACGGGTACGTGCACATGTACGTACGTACGTACGTCTCCCCGGACCTCCCTCCGGCCATAAACGGCCGGCCGGCCTGCCTCCGCCGCGTCCAGGGACGTGGCCGCTTGCCCCGCCGTGACGGGAACGGGCGATAATGAAGTAAATAGCATAAAACTACTACTTTACAGGCTAGGGTTTCAAAAAACTACCGATTTTTAATTTTTTTCAGATAACTACCAAATAAATGGTCTGCTGTTTTGAAAAATCCAAATCACCGAGTCTTTATCAGTTGATCCTGATTATGACAAGTTGGGCCCGCACCCAAAACAAACCGTTAGTTTGACCTTGGTTTGACCGTTAGCTTACATGTGGAGCCCACATGTAAGTTTTCTCTTCCTCTTCTCTTTCTTCCTCCTCTCTATCTCTTCTGTTCCCTCCTCTCTGCCTCCCGTGCTGGCCTTCTCCCCTCCCAAGCCGGCGACCCACCCCCCTCCCAAGTTGGCGATCCTCCCCACCCCCAAGCCGGCGTCCCTCCGCCCATCCCAAGCCGGCGACGACCCTCCCTCTCCTCCCCAGCATCCCAACAGTCGTGGCAGGTGCTCGCCGGAGCTCCTGGTGGCGACGGTGGCGACGAGGCCGGTCTCGTCCGCGGCGACGGGAGGTGCGCACTCCACAGCGGCGCAGGCCGTCGTGTCGAGTTTGAGGAGCTCGCGGCAGGGGATGGGGGCCGCCGCAGGCAAGGCGTGGCATGGCGGCAGGCGACTCGCAACTCAAGGCGTGGCCGCAGGCGAGGCACGGCGAGGCGACAGGGGAGTCATGGTGTGGCGGCAGCCGCAGGAGAGGCACGACATGGCGGCCGCTGCGGGCGAGGCTCGCCGGCCTCAGGCGATGACCAGCGTGGATCCAGCCGCTGCGGGCGCGGCTGGCCGACCTCAGGTGGTGCACGACATGGATTCCGCCGCTGTAGGCACGGCTCGCCGGCCGGAGGAAGCATCGCTGCCGTGCCAAGCGGGATCGAGCTCCTGGCTGCGTGGGGACCTGATTGCTTTTTCAGAAAAGTCACAGGGACCTGATTGTTTTTTAGAAAACTTATAGGGACCCGAATGCTTTTTTAAAAACTTACATGTGAGACCCAGATGTAAGTTAACGGTCAAAGTAAACGGTCAAACAAACGGTTATCTTACATGTGGGCCTAAACTGTCATAATCGTGATCAACTGGGTGATTTGGGTTTTCTGAAACAGCGGACCACTCATTTGGTAGTTATATGAGAAAAGTTAAAACCAGTAGTTTTTTGGAACCCTAGCCTGTAAAGTATAGTAGTTTTATGCTATTTACTCGGATAAAGGGATCCGCATATCCGTTTCTGATAAGATCACCTAGTTATATAAGCCATCTGTCCTCCTGCGCCTCTCACGTACCTGTCGCCACGGAGAATATATTTTGGGGGGTATGCACTTGACACTTAACACTCTCTTGCAGGGAATGCGGTTCTGTTTTCTTTTTCAAATCGCATGTGGCGCTGTGGACTGGGAGTAGTTTAGTTGGCACTAGCTCGTCCTCGAACATAAGCAGATACGGAGATCGGCCTCGAATCTTCACACCACTTCCTGGCACATTGTGTTAGTGCTGCGGTATTTTGTGTGAAAATGCTGATGAGTTATTCCGACTATTTTTCAGTTCTATCCGCGCATATGCCGTTTAAGATCCATTTAGGCAAACCACTTGCCATCAGTGTATTCGGAAGACTTAGCGTAATAATGTTAGGGCATCTGTCCATCTGAGTCTACATGCAAAGGCTAGAAGCATGGACGGAGCTACAAAGGTACTTGAGTGTACAAGTGTACACCCATTATTTTGCAAGAACGCCGACTATCTATGCAAAATAAATAAATTTGAAAACAGTCATAAAATTATGATTTTAATGAATTTTGTACACCCAAGTGTGTATGTTAGCTCCACCACTGGCAAATTGAAAACAGTCATAAAATTATGATTTTAGTGAAATTTGTACGCCCAAGTGTGCATGCTATAGCTCCACCACTGGCTAGAAGGTGGCTATATCACGGGGAAAAGGCAAATCTGGAGATATCATCTATTCCCTCCGTCCGAAAATATTTGTCATTAAAATGAATAAAATGAGATGTATTTAGATGTATTTTAGTTCTAGATACATCTCTTTCTATCCATTTTGAGGACAAGTATTTCCGGACGGAGGGAGTATTTAAAAGCTGATTTTGGTATGAAGGATGTTTCGCAACTCAAACCATTTGTCCAATTCATAACTCAGTTTCATTATTGGTTCGTATCGACATTTTCCGTACTAGATCACACGTGAATAAGTTTCATTGAAAAATATTATTAAGGTATTTGATTCAACACAAAATCAGCATGATTAAAAAAAGTACGAGAATAAGAAAACACATAACAACTAAATGCCATATACTACTCCCTCCGGTCCTTTTTAGTTCGCATATAAGATTTGTCTGAAGTCAAACCTCGTAAACTTTGACCAAATTTATAGAAAAAAATACAAACATTTAGAATGTGAAATCAACAACATTAGATGCGTCATGACTTTGCTTTTCATATTGTATAAATTTAGCATTATAGATGTTAATATTTTCTCATATAAATATGGTCAAACTTTACGAAGTTTGACTTCAGACAATCCTTATATGCAGAGTAAAAAGGACCGGAGGGAGTATATGATAATGTATTTGGTAAAAATATTATTTGATCATACCGTGCCAACCTATCCAAATTCCAGGCACTGGAAAAAAGCTATTTCTAGAATGTTTGAGTCAATGGGAATTCAAGATTCTGGAAATATGAGAATAAGAAAAACATAAAGAACTAGATGTCATAGCATGTTAAATTTCTACAAGAATTGTCAACACATAAAAAATTATAACAAAAGTCATTTAGTTGCACCACACAAAACACATGAACTTTTTGACAGACTGGATGTTTGCCATAGTTGCACTAGAAACAAATATTTTTTTCAATAAAGTTGGGCTCAATAGAAATTATTCCTTGGAAACGCATGCAAAACAGTGCATTTAAAAAAGTTTTCGATCTTCAATCCTACTAATGAAACAACTCCAGAAAATTTTCAAAATAATAGAATCCTCCAAAGTTTCTATACATTTATTTTGAATCATATAGACCCATAATGCAGCGGAATACAATTTTTTACAGGAAAAGTAATAGAACATAACCCATAAATCAGACATTTCACGTATAAATAATGTTCAAAAAAATTCAATCTTCGGAAATTTATACAGAATTTTTTTAAAGGCCCTATAGCTATTGTAGGCACGCTCAAACATCACACCTTATTCCGCCAATGACAATAAAATAGCTCATACAAAATTCATAGGGTGGCATGGCGCCACATTATTGTGGAGTTGGATGCACTACCAGAGATATGGCAAGTCTGTTTGAGTCAATGGGAATTCAAGATTCTTTTTTTTGAGCATCAGTACAGACACAAGCCCTCATATACACACGCATACACTCACCCCTATGAATGCACACACGCACACCCTACCCCTATGAGCACCTCCGAGAGACTGAGCCGGCATATCATCTTGAGATTTTCGAAGTCACCGTAGGCGCCTCGTCGTCGACGGGAATGTCTCCTCCCACTGAAAGCGCATCGCCGGAAATCCTGAAATAAATCCAGGAATAATGCGAGCACCAGGATTTGAACCCTGGTGGGTTGGGGATACTACTATCCACCTAACCAACTTAACCACAGGTTGATTCGCGGGAATTCAAGATTCTGGAAATATGAGAATAAGAAAAACATAAAGAACTAGATGGCATAGCATGTTAATTTTCTACAAGAATTGTGAACACATAAAAAATTATAACAAAAGTCATTTAGTTGCACCACACAAAACACATGAACTTTTTGACAGACTGGATGTTTGCCATAGTTGCACTAGAAACAAATAATTTTTTCAATAAAGTTGGGCTCAATAGAAATTATTCCTTGGAACCGCGTGCAAAACAGTGCATTTAAAAAAGTCTTCGATCTTCAATCCTACTAATGAAACAACTCCAGAATTTTTTCAAAATAATAGAATCCTCCAAAGTTCCTATACATTTATTTTGAATCATATAGACCCATAATGCAGCGGAATACAGTTTTTTTACAGGAAAAGTTATAGAACATAACCCATAAATCAGACATTTCACGTATAAATAATGTTCAAAAAAATTCAATCTTTGGAAATTCACACAGATATTTTTTAAAGGCCCTATAGCTAT